AAATGTGAATTTTTAAAATATATTTTTCGAGGATCAAATGAGTATTCAAGGCTTGATTTTCAAAGAATATATTAGAAGGGCCAACAGCCCATTCAACTTGCATTTTCAAGAATATTTTTTAAGGACCAAAGGGCATAACAAGACCATCCAAAGGTGGATTTTTAAGCATATTTTTCAAGGACTAAAACGGGGATTTTAAAGATTATTTTTCAAGGATCACAAGACCATCTAAAGGTGGATTTTTGAAGATTATTTTTCAAGGACTAATACGTGGATTTTTTAAGAATACTTTTTAAGGATCAAATAAGTATTCAAATCTGGATTTTTGAACAATAGTTTTCAGAGAACAAGATACCATCCAACCCTGGATTTTTTAAAATTTTTTTTAAGGACTAAAATAACGTCGTTTTTACAGAATATTTTTCAAAGATTAAAATACCATCCAAACGTGGATTTTTAAAAAAAAATTTTTCAAGGACCAAAATACCGTCAAATCGCGAATTTTTAATGAATAATTTTTAAGGACTATAAGGCCAGCCAAATGTAGATTTTTAAAGAATAGTTTTTAAAGAGTATTTTAAGAATAGTTTTTAAAGAGTATTTTTCAAGGACCAAAATACCATCCAGCCCAGCATTACAAAAAAAGATGTTCAAGGATCAAAAGACCATCCAATACAGGATTTTTAAATAATATTTTTCAAGGACCAGAAGATCATCCAAAGAAGGACATTCATATTTTTTAAGAAGGACATTCAACCATCGTGAATTTTTAAGAATATGTATCAAGAACTACATTTTCATAGACGAGGAATTCTAACAAAATTGTTCTAGGACCAAGCTTTGTGGTTAGGAATATTTTTTCGAGGACTATACGAGGCTTTTTAAAAATGTTTTTTTTTTATGAATTTTTAGATTTTTTTAAGGACCAGACGTGATGTTTTAAAACAATATATTCAAGGATGAAATAATTTGTTTTAAGTAATATTTATTGAAGGTTAAGGAGTTTTTTTCTAGGACGAAAATGGATTTATAAGAAGAATAATTTCTAACAAGTCTATTTTCCAGGGGTTATCATATGTTTTTCAAAGAATCAAGGGCCATTCAAATGTGTATTTTGAAGGCATTTTTCAGGGTCCAACAGATCTTCCAAACGTGTTTTTTTAAGGAATATATTTTGAAGGATAAAGGAGTTTTTTTCTAGGACGAAAATGGATTTATAAGAAGAATAATTTCTAACAAGTCTATTTTCCAGGGTTTATGACATACTCTTAAAGGACCAAGGGCCATCCAAATGTGTATTTTTGAAGGCTTTTCTCAGAGTCCAACAGATCTTCGAAATGTGCATTTAAAAATATAGATTTTCAAGGACCATCCAAATATGGATTTTTAAAGGATATTTTTTTTTAAAGACCAAAAGTGTTTTTTCAAATATTGACAAATATATTTTTTTAACAAGCGTGGATATAAAAATACTATTTGTCAATGATCGAAGGATCGACGAATGTATAGAAATAGTATTTTTATTTATGGATCAAAGGATAATATGTTAAAGGACCTACGTGAATTTAAAAAAATTGCTTTCTAGGTCTAATAACTCAACTAAACGTAGATTTTGAACCATATTTTGCAAAACCTACAAAAAATATAAATGAAGATTCTTAAAAAAAAATTTAAAGGTTAATGGACATAAAATCAGAGATTCTTGGGAATATTTTTGGGGGACAAATATACCAAAATAAAATTGCGGTTTTTTAAAATATTTTTCAAGGACAAATAAAACAATAACTTAGCAATTTTATTTTTTAAGGGGAAAATAGAATTATAAATTTCAGATTTATTTAAGGACAAATAGGCAAATAAATCGGGGGTTTTTAAAAATACCTGGCCAAGGAGTACGAAATCAGAATTTTCTGATTTTTTTTTGCGGGCCAACAGGTATCGGTTTTTTTTTATTTACAAGTATTTCTATTTCCAAATTTCCAGTCATGTAGAAATTCCATAAAATCGCTGTCATAATTTATTGTGCCACAATTAAAAATATTTCCCATTTTTGGCCGGCCAAAAACAAATCTCTAAATTTCAACAAACAAAAATATATGTAACTAACTAGTTTACAAAAAAAAAAAAAAAAAAAAAAAAAAAATACAAATTTTTCTGTTGCTTTTCTATTTGTTTTGATTTTTTTTCGCATTACAACAATTTTTATGAGCTTATTTTCTCGTATCAAAAGCACACCCAACTGGCAAAAACGTAAAATATTTAATTTTATTGCTAATGAGTTTTGGCTTGACGCTTGGCTGGTTGGTTGGCCTTTTACAAAAAAAAAAAATATATATACATGTATGTGTGTGTATATATGTTTGAAAAAACTAACAAAAATCTCATAAATTTAAGTGCGAATTCGTTGGCGTGATTGTTCGCTGTTGCTGAGGGTCAGAGTGGGGGTGTTCGAAAATTGTTGCGCTTTGGTTAATAACTTTTAATTTGTGGTTTCTCTTTATGCAGCTGCAAAAATGTTCACAAGTTGCAGCTGCCATTATTTTCGTGTGTGTGAGTGTGTAGATCATTTCAAAAATAACAAAATAGTTTATAGTTTATTTCATTTTGAATTTTTCAAATATTTTTCATTGATTTCGGATTTATTTAATTACATCAAAATTTAATAGCATCAGATTGATTCGTTGCGGGCCTCTTATGCCCGCAATTGAATTATTGTAACGAAGAATGGCAGGATATTTGACATGGCTGACAAAATACTATACAGGGTGAGATGAAAAAACTGCAACCAACTTCAGACTGCTGTCATTTCTAAGTCACTCGTCCGACAGCTGTTAAAATTATTCCAGTGGCAGCTGATTGCATTGTTTACAAGCACACAAAAGCATTTTGGTGAGAATTTTCCAGAAAAAAAGTTATTCGTGATGGAATTCAAGCGCGATAGTGTGATTTCTTTATATTTGGCTGGAGAACCACAAGTGGCTATCGTTAGAGCACTCCAGCAGCATTTAAATGTGAATAAATCTTTGTGTCTCGTACCATCGCTCTTTACTGTGATACTGGTAGCGTTGCCCGACCCAGGTCAAGGAAGTGGACGGACGAAACCAGTAACATCAGCAGAAATGATTCGAAAAGTAAAGAAGCGACTTGATCGAAACCCGAGTCGCAGTGGCCGAAAAATGGCTCGTGAGCTGGACATATCGCAATATTCCATTCGGCAAATATTGGAAAATGAGCTCGGGTAAAGCCATTGATTCTCCAAAAAGTGCAAGAACTTACAAAGCCGCAAAAGAAAGAAAATAGACTCAAAAGAGCTAAAGAGTTGCTTCGCTTGGCCGAAAGTGGTGAACTGCCGAATTTGGTTTTCTCCGTCTCCGATGAGAAAACATTCGTTGTCCAGCAGTTTGTAAACAAACAAAATAATCGTGTTACTCGCCAAAGAGGTCAGCTGAAAATATGCACCTTCGGTTGGCCACCAGAACTCAAGCGCCAGCCATGGTGATGGTGTGTGTGGGCCGTCATAACAGCCGATGGCCGCTATCTGCTCGTATTAATCGACCATGGCATTAGAATAAATGCCGAATATCATTGCGAAAATATTCTGGAGGGTGTATTAAAGCATTGGCCACAGACCTTGGACATTCCAACAGGACTCAGCACCATCGCCCTCAGCAAGCGCCACCCAAGAATGGTCATAAAATGAGGTTCCTCGCTTCATTTCCATTCGGCACAATGGCCACCAAAACCTCCGGATACCTATCCGTTGGACTATTGTGTCTGGAGTATTTGGAAAGTAAGGTTGGCACTAGAAAATACCAAAGTGGCGATCACCTCAAGCAAGCGCTTCGCCGAGAATGGGTCAAAATACCCCAGAGCAACATTCGGGCCGCGTGTGACATTGGTTTCATTGGCCGTTTGAAGGCCATAATTCGTACCAAAGGTGACCAATTCGAACAAATCTAAACTTATTCTAAAATTTGATGCTATTTCCGACATTTTTTTTTGCTTTCATTCAATAAAATTTAAAAAAAAAATGTAAAAATTATGGCGTTTGACTTTGTTGTAGGTTTTTTTATCTCACCCTGTACCTATATTTGTTCTGCTCACAAAAAAAATTATCCTGGGACTTCGTGACCTGAGACTTACTCATTATTTGGCACACGTCGACAGGATATTTTCCATTTTCAAAAAATGGCGCTCGCTATGGTACCAAGTACTCCAAAGAAGATTTAGGGGTTTATGAGCTCGTATAAAAATTCCCCTAAATATACACTCTTCACTTCACATTTTTATAAATATTAATTTAACCTTATAATCACAAGGTCATATATCCGCTTAAGAATTAAACATATCTTTAATAATAAAAATAATTAATTAATAATTCCGAATTTCAATTAAAATTCCAAAAAACTTGGAAAATATTTACCCAAAAAATGTGTCGGATAAAATATCATAAACTGGACATGGGGGGGCGTGGCAGTGAAACTAAGCAAAATGTGTATTTAAAAAAATTGGAACATTTGCTGGGACGAACAGGGGACAATGTGAAAAATTCGTGAATGGGGGAAAATGCAATCATGACCAAAAATCCAACAGAGCAGGCCATTTAAAATGTCAGAACAATGCAACATTTATGTATGACAAAATATAAAAAAAACCAAAAATATATTATATATTTCTAAAAAAAAATATAATTAAAAAATAAATATTTTTTATAAAACTATAACTATTAAAAATAATAAAAAAATAATTAAAAAATAAAATAAATAAATAAATATTCTTTTTACTATACTATAACTATAAAAATAAAATAAATTAACCCAAAATTAAAGCAAATTCATTTTAAAGCAGTAATTTCTATTTAAATCTATTTTAAGCTATTTAAATTTCGTTTTTAGTTAAATATTTATTTTAATAATTTTTAGTTAATTAAATTTGTTTTATTTAATTTTGATCAATTTTTTAACACAAAAAATTTGTAAAGGAAATTTGTCTTGACTTACCTTTCACTAGCAATGCTTGAATTGCGGGACATTGATTTGGGTGACATTTCAAAATCAGAATCGGAACGATATAAGAACGATTCGCGACGCTGTGGAAGATTTTGCAAGACCAGACCGGCGCTGGGTGAACCGCCCTCGAGCGGAGATCGAGCACTTTGGCCATTTTCTACATCGAAACTGGAAAGAGAGGAAGAGAAATATACAATTAGTTAAAGAGAATTACAAGAAAAGAACAAAAATGAAGTTGTCAATAATTCAAAATTTGAGATATAGATGGCGCTAGTGACAAATATTGATCTAATGTTAGGTCATAAAAAACTGATTAAAGTTTATTAAAAATAATAGTGGTAAAATAGGTACACTCTATCAATACGAAATCTTGGTCTGTTTTTCAATGAAATATTTTTTTTAAGAACTTCGAAATTCTAAGTCTTTGCCATTTGAAAATTGATTCTTAAAAAACAGTTTTTGTTCTTTGAGCTTTGATCCTTGAAAAACTGCAAAATGTTCCTTTATAACTTGAAAACATATTCTTACAAGTGCTTTAAAAATATTCCTTAATCCACGTTGGACAAAACATTCTCAGAAATCCTTTAAAACAATTATCAAAAATCCTTGAGAACATATTTTTAAAAAACTTTAAAAAAATATTTATAAAAATCCTTGATTTGTCCCCTAAAAATATTCTCAATAATCTTTGGAAAACTATTATTAAAATTCCTTAAAAAATTATTCGTTTGGTCCTTTAAAAAATATTCTTAGAAATCCTTGAAAATATTTTTTTAAAAAATTCTTGAAAAAGTAATATTAAAAATCTTTTGATCCTTGAAAACATGTTCCTAGAAATCCTTGAAACACTATTCTTTAAAATCTTTGAGAATGTATTTTGCAAACCTTTGAAAAATTATCCTGAAAAAACCCCGATAGGTCCTTTAAAATATTATTAAAAATCTTCATTTAAAAGATATTCTTAAAAATCTTTGAAAAATTATTGATTGATTGATTAAAAATCCTTAAAAAAATATTGTTAAAAAACCACTTTTGGTCCTTGAAAAAATATTCTTAAAAATCCTTGAAAAAGTATTTTATGTTGAAAAGGTATTCTGAAAAATCCTTGAATAATATTTAAAAAATATTCATAAAATCCACGTTTGATCCTTAAAAAATATTCTTAATAATCTTATAAATTATTCTTAAAAATCCAGATTGGTCCTAAAAAAATATTCTTAGAAATCCTTTTTAAAGATCCACATTTGATCCTTGATTTTTTTTAAATCCACCTTTGGTCCTTGAATAATAATATTCCTAAAAATCCACGTTTGGATGGTCAGTTGGTCCTTGGAAATCCATCCTTGGTCCTTGGATCCTTGGTCCTACGTTTAGTCCTTAGAAAAATATCGTAAAAATCCCCGTTTGGTCCTTGGAAAAAAAATTTTAAAAATCCATGTTTGCTTCTTCGAATGAAATATTTAAATTCAACGTTTAGATGGTCAATTGGTCCTTGGAAAATAATTCCTAAGATCCATGTTTGGAGGGTCAGTTGGTCATTTTAAATAAAATCCTTTGGAAATAAAATCTTCAAAATCCATGTTTGGTCCTGGGAAAAAGTCTTAAAAATCCATGTTTAATCCTTGGAAAAATTATTTAAAAATCCACGTTTCATCCTCAGAAAAAAAATCTTAAAAATCCATATTTGGTCCTTGGAAAAAATCTTAAAAATTCACGTTTGGTCCTTGAAAAAATTCTTAAAAATGCACGTTTGAATGGTCAGTTGGAAAACATTTCTTAAAATACACGTTTGGTCCTTAGAAAAAATTTCATAAAAATCCACGTTTGGTTCTTGGAAAAAATAATTTAAAAATCCACGATTGATCCTCAGAAAAAATTTAAAAAAAATTTCGGTTGGTCCTTAGAAAAAATTCTGAAAAATACACGTTTGAATGGTCAGTTGGAAAACAATTCCTAAAAATCTACGTTTGGTCCTGTGAAAAAAATTGGTTAAAAATCCACGTTTGATCCTCAGAAAAAAATCTTAAAAATTGTCGATTGGTTCTTGGAAAAAAATCTTAAAAATGCACGTTTGAATGGTCAGTTGGAAAAAATTCCTAAAAATCCAAACTGAGAAGAAAATTCTTAAAAATCCACGTTTGGTCCCTAGAAAAAATTCTTAAAATCCACAGTTTATTCTTGGAAAAAAATCTTAAAAATCAAAGTTTGGTCCTTGGAAAAAACATTTTTAAAAATCCACGTTTGGGTGGTCAATTCGTCCTTGAAACAATATTCTTAAAAATCCTTGCTTAAATGGTCGTTTGGTCCTTGGAAAAATATTCTTAAAAATCCAAGTTTGGATGGCTTGTTGGTCCTTGGAAAAAATATTCTAAAAAAATCCACCTTTGGTCCTTGAGAAAATATTCTTAAAAATCATAGTTTAGATATTCAGTTGGTCCTTTTAAAAAATTCTTAAAAATCAACGCTTGGTCCTTGAAAAAATATTCTAAAAAATCCACGTATGGATAGTCAGTTGGTCCTTGTAAAAAAATCTTCAAAATCCACGTTTGGTCCTTAAAAGAGTATTCCTAAAAACCCAAGTTTTTTCCTCAAAAAATATTTTTCTAAATTCCACGTTTACTCCTTGGAAAACAAAAATACTCCAGTTTGGTCTTCAAAAAATATTTTCTAAAAATCCACGTTTGGTCCTCGGAAAAAACTATTAAAGATCCACGTTTGGTCCTCGGAAAAAAATCATTCAAAAGCCTGTTGGTCCTTGAAAACAATTCGTAAAAATTGAGATTTGCCTGGTCTGTTGGTCCTTAAAATATTCTTAAGAATCAGCATTTTATCCTTGAAAAATTATGGTTAAAAAAATCTTAAAAATCCACATTTGGTCCTTGAAAAAATATTATCAAAGATCCACATTTCGTCCTCGAAAACAATTCTTAAAAAATTAACGTTTGCATGTCCCGTTAGTTATTGAAAAATATTCGTTTAAAAATCTGCATTTGAATGGTCTGTTGGTCCTTGGAAAAATATTGTTAGATCCTTGAAAAACATACATAATTCTACGTCTGGATATCCTGTTGATCCTTGAAAATTTTTCATTGAAAAATCTACAAAAAAAAAACCTAAAAAATATACTTATATCCTCATTAAAAAAACCCTCGCTTCATTGATGTCCTTGCAAAAACATTCTCAGATCCTTGAAAATGTTTCCTTTCAAAACTCCACATTTCCATGGTCTATTAGTCCTTGAAAACATATATTTCTTCCCTCTCAAACATAGAATTACTTTTGTCATCCCTCCTCGCTTGGAGGAAACGTGCTTTGTTACAACTTCAAAGGAAATTAAAACTTTGTATCAAATTTTCTTTCGTTTGTTTCTTTTTTTTTTGGTGTTTTCAAAATTGACATTATTAAATCACGCTCGCTGAACATAAACAAGAGAGCGAAAGATTTGTTAAAGGAAACGGTAGTCCAGGACATGATGATGGTAATGTACTGAAATTATCAGCATTTACAGCAGAGGGAAGAATATGTAGCATGGAAAAAACTTTTCCATTCCATTCCTTTGCTCTTACCATTCCCATAAATTAAGAATACTAAGAAGAAGAAAAAAGAGAAAAAAAGAAAAAAAAAACAACAACAACGGCAGCTGTAACAATATCAACAATTTCCTTGCTGCCACTCTTGGCATGCTAAACAAACAGCCCGCCGAAAGGGAGCAGGACCTCACAAAAGCCTCCTTCCTCTTGCTCCTGCTGCTGTCTAAGTGTCTTACAAAGGGAAGAAGTAACTTTTTTCACACCTCAACTTAATTTTTCCTCCAGGATACAAAAGTAACAACAACAAAAAGGGAATGGGAAAAAAGAAACTCGTGTTGGGCATGAGTTAAACGGGGAGAGATGAATGACTGCCTTAACACAGAATGTCTGACAAGTATTTGAGAAGCGAAAAAGAAAGGACCAAGAAACCAGCAGGAGAAGCGTCAATAGCATTACCCATAGAATAATAATAACAACAACAACAAAAGCACCTTGCCATTCATAACAAACTAAGACTCCTGTTGTTTTCTTAATGAGAAAACGGTTTTTCTGTTTTCAAGATTTCCTTTCTTCTAATAACAGGTTGGATGGATGGATGGATGGTTGGTTGGATGGCAGACTGAATGGCTGGCTGGTTGGCCGAATGGTTTGGGGGTAATGGTGGGTGTTGAGTGTTGTAACAGTATTCCAGCTAGAAAACTTTTTATTGTTTGGTATTCATTGTAGCCATTCATTCATTCGCTCATTGACATCTACACTCATACACACATTCATCGCACCCATTTTGTGTGTGTGTGTGTGGACAGGATATTGCCAAGGCCTTTTGTTCACCAGGACGAACATCAAATTTCTTGGGAATTTTTTACTTTCTTTGAAGAGGATTTTCAAGTCGTTTGGGAAATATTTCTATTTTTCTTTTTGAAATTGAAATCTCAAAGAATGTGGGGTAGAAAATAGGAAATAGTTTAGAGAAGATTTTTGGGAAAACGAGAATGTAAAAACAAAAAAAAAAAAAAAAAAACTAAAAATAATGGGAATCAAATTCAGAACTCGCAAATTCAAGGAAATTTCAGTCCAGGAAAAATTCTTTAAAATTCCTTGTAAAAGGCTTATGGGCAAAAAAGGAGTTATATTCTCTATATGTGGAAAGCACTAGAAATCTTTTTTACTTTGAAGGACTATTAAAGGTCATAGAAGCCTTTTTTATGTCATCTACGCACACAAGGCCTCAGGAGAAGGTCCTCCATATGTCTTCTTTGCATAGGAGTTACAAGAGGGTTTCAGAAGGCCTTCCCTTCTATGCAGGTTTTTTGTATATAGAAGTCCTTCATGAAGTATTTTATGGATTAAAGTCAATCTACGCATATCCTACAAAAAAAAAAAAAAAAAAAAAAAAAAAAAAACAGTAAAGAAAGTCTTAAAGTCGGGCGGGGCCGACTTTATGATACCCTACATAACTTTGCTAATTTAGTAGAGCTCCGCATAGCAATTAAAAGTTTTTATGGGCTATGGTTATAATTAAAAATTTTAAGTTCAAAGGACTAAATAAGCCGAAGCATTTGTATTTTTTAAATTCGGACTTGTATTGCCCATTTGGTGCACAATTAATTTGAAATCTAATAAAGACATATATGGGAG